ATGTTTGATGAAAAGTTCAGCGGCGATGCCGTCATGAATGTAGAGAAATTTCGTAAATGCCGATTTCTTGGCCTCAAAAAGCGATGGTGAGGCCGGAAGTTGGTTCTATTTTCGCGAGATGACTTCCGGGCAGCGCATCCGGTCGGTCATCTACCAAACAGCATCACATCCGGGCGAAAAAACTTTCTAGATGCTGGTCAGCAGCTGGAAAGCAGATTGCTTTCCTAAACTTGACGTCATATTTCCAGTCGTCATAGGGAACGAGGAAAGACGATCCATACGAAAGACGGATGAAAAAAAGAAGCATTTTGCATCAAAAGTACATTTTGCTTGGATATTATTATTTTCTTGACGTGCTGCAATGGACTTATTGCGTCAAACTTGATTTTCATTGATCAGATACTTTTTGGGACGTTGATTCTATTTTTATTATTATATTTTTGAATCGTCGATTAGAACGTTCTCCATACTCAAAAAAAAATCCCGCAAAATACCCATGCACTTGTATGGCTTCTGCAAAAATCAGGATAAATTGTGGCATTGACTTATATAATACCAGAAAAATTCACAAGAAAATTTCATCGACTTATTTGTTTTTGCGTACTGCTTGTAAACTTTGGCCTTATTTCATGAGAATTTGATGTTCGGGATTGTTTTTTCAGAATATTTCAGAATCTGTATGTACATCGTTCTAGACTCTAGAGTATCTAGAATTCTAGATGACAAGGATTTTAATTTTTGATCCACAGTTCTGGCCAAATAACTTGAGCAACGGATGAGAGACAAGGATTTGTATTTGACTGCATCCATAGAATTCACGCTGCAATCATCGGTCTGTCGTATCAGTAATATTTTGAATGAACCAAAAAAGAATTTATCGTTTAAAGAATTTCCAGGATGGAAATGAGTGATACTGTGTAAAGTATGTACACAAATATATTTGTACAGTAATTTGTTTCGTTTTTCACAGTTAATCTTGGTCTGACAGTAACATTTTCTATTTATTATTCAAGAAGTGAAAAACTTGGTTTATTATGCTGGATAATCGTTGATTCAATAATAAAAAATTTTGCAGGATGATCAGTCTGAACTTCGTGCTGAACATTTTCCATGTGACAAAAATCTTCTTCCGATCATTCCATCAAGTGTAAACGTGTATTTTCCCCGTTTCAAGAGTGATAACAATAAATGCGTTTTATTGAACAGATGCAAAGAACATTAATTCTCGTCCTCATTGTTATTTTTCTGCTTGATAGAAATATGTAACAGTAAATAAGCTTCAGAATTTTCGAAAAATTAGGCGATCATCCTAGAGTCGGTTTCGCTTACAGAATCGTATCATTCGTTCCTCGACAAATAAAAGTAACAATTGTCAGCCCGAAGATGTTTGTCCTCATATGGTTGAGCAGGACTTTATGAAATGTTCTGCATTTTCTGTGCGTACACCTGCAAAACTCAAAAATGACGTACAGTAGTAATGAAAACCGTTTCCCGAAGCTGCAAAAAGTTTAATAAATTGAGGAGTTCCAAATCAACTGCATCAGGGATCAATCGATCAGTGATGGAATGGTCCAATAATTACCGGACATCAACTTTTATTTCCCATAAAACTACTGCCTATCCCGTAATTCCATTATCTTTCTTAATGCCACGGGTAACTTGTGAGAACTGAAGAAACTGAGGCAGTGCAATATTATCTTGAAAAATACCACGCAAAGACTTGGCAAAATAAACTTATAATTTACTGTCCAACTTTTTAGATGACCTATTTTGAGTCCAATTTGCTGATTCTTGTGGGAGAAGGCCCTGCAAACTGAGTAATGCATTCAAAATATTGTGTGGGACGAGATTATTCAGATTTACAAGGCCGATGGATTCCCGTGGAGTAAACAAGATTTATCTCTCTTATATCAAAAACATGGCTTGGCTTGGAGTACAGTGAAGAACATGAAATTTAAAATGTAATCGCAGACAAATTGGGAAAGAAAACATTCCGTCGTTATTGTGCTTGTAAAATGTTGGATACTAATCTTGTTGGTAATGCGTAGCCATATCTGTTCACCTGGCTTATAGTAGGCTTATATAAATTAAAGAATTACGAACTACGCGCGGTTGCTTTCTATTATCAGCGTGGGAAATAATTAAAACTACAGTAATGTATTAGACAAAAAATCTCTCAATCACTGAACGTGTGAAATCAAATCAGAAGATATTAGAAAAAATTCAAGGAATATACGTCTCAAACGAAAAATTATCCGATCTTGCTCACATCTAAAATGATCTAATTTAGAAACATTCTGATTGTTCGCACTTCAGTTCGATTCTATATATACCCACAGGTCGATTTTAACAAAAATTCCAAATAGCAATAATATTTTTAATTTCTGGGGTTCCAACGCTTATAAGAATAACGTACGTATGTTAATTATCATGTAATGCCCATGACGATTCCACAAACAAAAAACGAAAAATCATAAACTATATTTTAAAGTCGATCCATATATTAAATGTAATTGAAGTTTATTTCTCAAAGCTCCTGATATCGAGATACAGTATTTCATTTCCTGCCGTGAAATTGTATTCCTTCATCAGTCGTTGGCAACTTATTTTTCTCGTATCCGGTGATACTGTACAATATATCACAAATACTGTATATCCAGAGATTATAAAATCGAGATTTGAACGATGAACTCTTAAGGCGTCGCAAATAAACTCAATTCAACAACAGTATTATTGGCGTCGGAATCCAGTTCCCTTCTCGGTCTATTCTTTGAAACAGCCACAATAATATATACAGTAGTACTTTCTGCATATAGTATTTTCTATAAATATACCATATTTATATTTATATATATCTGGTACAACACAGTATTATATATTCTGTTTGGCACATGTGCAAACCTGACCTAGAAATTGGAGACAATATATGTTTTTCAATCATTTATCAAAAGGAAGACTTCTCCGCGTGTTTTCAATTTGTATAAGATGTGTCAACAAGAATGAGCGCAGCATGCTGCTCTTTGGGTACCGTATAGATCAGATAATATGGTACATCCTGGTAAATTACTGATTTGTTATGTGCTTTCTACTTGCGTCACCCAAGTGTAGTACGGTTTTCTCACAGCCTATCTTCAGGTTGAATGCCACAGGTGTCACTGCTCTCGAACGCTGCCAAAATGCATTCCCTGCTGCTTATTCTGATGGTACTGTATATGGTGCAGATGTATGGTCTGATGGTGCAGTATACGCTGAGTTGCTGACTAAACCGCATTATGAAAATTGACAGGAATAGGTGGAGTTAGGCTGCTAAAACAATAGCAATTTTTTTCATTGAAACATAATGTACATTCTTGTTACACATATGTATGGGCACAGTGTTGGAGAAGAAGGTCTTTATCATTTACAGCACAGCACATTTCGCGTATACATACAAGCTAATGACCAGCAGCAATTGCTCCATTATGTATGCGAGCTACGTACTGTACTGCGGCGTGAATGATGCAAGACTGCAATGCAGAAGAAAGTTAGCAGAAAACTCATAATCATTAATTTTCGACTATACAGCTGATAGGGGTTTAGGCCGTCGAAGCCTACTGCTCAGGCATATATGCTGCTGCTGCTGCATGGTTACTTGCTGAAATGTATCAGGCCATTCGGGTGATGACCCCTTTGTAATTGTAAATGACTTCAGGTGCTGCATGCTGATGGTTCTCTTCAATAGTACATGTACTGTACTGTATTTCTGGCCTGAAGAACGACGTACTGCTGTACAGTATATGAGAGGGGAATATAATACGGCAATCATGTGAGCTGTGATGTTTCCCCTTCATCAGGAGCTAATTACAGTATTCGAGCTACACTTGAAGCAGCAGTCAAAATAATTTACCCAGCACAATCTGACTTTAAAGTGGATGCAGGGTTTTAAAGAATCCTTCTGAAATGAGCTACCGTACTTTGTGGGGCAATATATATAGGCGAAACTGGTTAGATTATTACATAGCCCAGCACTGGCATCAGCATATTTGAAGGAACATAGAGGGCAGGGCAAATAATTTTTTACAGGAATTCTGTAACTATGAATACCATAGAACTCCTTCCTTCTCTCTTCTTTCCTTTGCTTCTCATCCTGTATGCATATTAGCGAGAGCTCTTGCTTGACAAAATTGAATTCAATAAGGAGAACATGCATCACAGTAGGTGAATGGTTAGAGAAACCGGTTCTTAAGCGTTCCCGTCACATACCCAATACCCCCTTTGTTGTACAGTTTATCCTTCAGTCAGCCAACTTCTACGCAGGGCCTCTTGACACAAGACTACCTGTTAATACGCCACCTCTGTTGGCGGCATTCTCTTTCAGCGCCACCAATGGTTTCCGTTAAGTGACTTGAACTGATCTGATGTAGCACACAGAATCTGGGAAAGCTTCCTACAATGCAAAATAACACGATTTAAATTATAGGAACACATCTTCGAAAAAATACTATAGTATTGTTTAGTCATAGTTAGGTTTCAAGTAAATAGTATCTTCTCATCTTACACTGATTTCAGCAAGAAATTCCTGCTCAAAAAATGTGGTATTCACAAAGTTACTCATTGATGACATGCTGGGTGGAACTGGAAGTCAACAGACCCCAAGCGGACTGGCGTGGAAGTGAGCGGTGGCAATTTGAAAACATGTTTAGTGGTGTCTGCTGAACCATGTTTTCAATGATAGACTGGCGCTCCTAGGGGTGGCGTGAAAGAGGTAGCCCTGATTTGAGCAGTGTTGAGTGGCAGCTGTACCATAATGTCGCGTCACGGAGAATGGCCTACTGAACAATGTTTTATCCTTAAAGTGTTTTGTAAATTGTGGTGTTTTGGCTATGCTGGTAATTTGTGGCTACATGTGAGCTCTGGCAAGAAGTCCGCCCACCGGCTTAAGGGATCCATTCTATCTCTTGCCTTCTTAAGCTTCATTTTAAGGAAGCAAACGCTCAAAGTGCTAAAAGCTGTGCTATTGCTTTGTGCAATGTTACGCAGAGCTTGTTCGCGTTCTCAAAACTGCATCACGTAAACCGTTTGCGTGTTTATCAATGTGATGACTTGCACAGTGGTTAGAAGTGGTTTGCTAATATCGATTGATGGATCGGGAAGCCACGGATGAAAAAAGCAGCACCGAAAGCAGATGATTTCCAAATCTTTGGACGGAAGATGTTGAAATGCATCTTTGGATTGATAAGCAAAGAACGTATTTGAGGAGTTCCCGCTTGAGGGCATTGTGGAAACCTCGTTGGAGTCCATCACCAGATTCTCTATTGTGGTCTGTCGCAACCACGAATCAGTTCTACTTGAAAGGTAAAAGAAACAGCACTTGTGACGATACGAACAGTTACCATCCCCTGAACAACGGCAGCAGTGTCAAAGTTACGCGGAAGAGGCAGATAACAAAGCCGAAACCAATAACGCCATGGTCACCCCTGTGCATCGGTGAGATTTTACTGCGCTGACATTCATTAGTTCTAGTGGCTACCCACCGTCTTCATACCGATTACCTGAATTATTTGCCTGCCCCAGCCCACAGTTTTTCTTACCTTAGATTCGGTTCGGGCACAGTGTACTTGACAATATTCCAGGTGGATATTTCGGAATGGGGACGGGGTATCATGAAATAGACGATAGCCCTTTTATGGGAACAGTTTAAGTTCATGAGTGGTTCTTGAAATGCGCTCTTTCCCAGGTACCAGCATGTGGACACTTTTTGGGAGCAAGGCAGACATTGTAGCGAACAAGTCTCCAACAATTGGAATCGTGGACGCATTGCAGGCAATCGTGGAGGACATCAGAGTGGTACTGGACGTGGCACCAGCACCTTCGGTTACCCTGAATTTGGGCAACATGCCGCTGTGGTGCATGCTCTACGCAATGGGGGTGCCCACGCTGAGATTGACACTGACAGCTTACTTCTTGAAGCTGGGCTTATCAGTGACCAGCGGGAGTATTTGCAGCATCAACAGCGTCTGCAGACTATGGCAAGACTTGTGACTGAGGCACATTTGGCTGGTGGATCTGGTAGTCGACCACTGAATTGCATCATTTGGACGTGTTTCATGGCCCTAGCATTGTTCGTTGTTCCTGCTCAGATGTTCTATGGAAACCACACCGAGTTCTTCTTCTTCTTCGTTGTACCCTTGGGTAAGTTCGGGAGTTGTGCAACCCCTCTTCTATTTCGGAGGGTGAAATTTTGTGCGTACCTAAATGTTTACTGGACTACTGATATAATGTACGGTGAATGCTTCGGGATCAAATTAACGATGCATCTTCATGTATTGGTCACGGATCTCGGTAGAGTAGTACAAGTACAAAGCCATTTCAAAGAAGGGATGGTTCAAGTTTATTATTAGTCTTGCTTGCAACTGGTTTTGTAACGATGTACTGTTGATGTTGTAAAATTAAACTGATTTTCAGCATTTTGAATGAGGAATTTGCCGACTGTCCTCTACCAAACCCGGGGGCGATGTGCTAATTCCTAACGAGATGTAATAAATGACACTTGTGAACTAAAACAAGAAAATGAGAGATTCTAGATTTTACCTAAATTTCTGTGACAGATTTCTGGTTTGAGAGATTTAAACTTCCGAAGGTCTTAGTTTACATTATCTTTCTTCCTCTATCGACAGTTTGGTCCAGTAATTGCTTTTATAATTCGTTGTTAAAGTTTCCTCAGAAATAGTGAGATTTCTAAAAAAAATGTATATTAATGCTCAGTGATTCTCCGAGTTTTGATCAGGAAATAAAACTGATATTTAATTGGAAATCCTTTTAACCCCGAAAAGCTAGGTGTTTATGAAAACATCCTATTAGCATTCAGGTCCGGCCATTTTGAAAGTCTGTATAATTTTCCCGTAATTCTTATGAACTTTTTGAAATATCCACCAAGTGAAGCGTCTTCTCCTTTGCAATGCAAGTACCTGTATGTTATTTTTTTGTTGGAGTTCTGAAGTAATATTTTATCTAAATTCACCAAAGCTTTCAGTATTCTGCATACGAGTAGCTCTAGCTGTTTATGCGTCCAGGAGGATGATCGCGAAGTAGCGTCTTATACATCTTTGAGAAGGCTGAAATTATTAGAAGGATAACTATTCGAACAAAATCACTACTGCTCTGACTTGACCTGTTGGGGAAAATCAATGGTACTGCGAAAGAATGTGTCGACTCCAAATGTGAAGATAATTGTCGCAACAGTTTTTCAGTATGCATGCCAAAAAAGGCGAACAAAATCTCTCTCATCAAGCAATCTCACAACCACCTTCAGTACATGACATTTGATTTTTGTTGATGTCATTTCAGGTTTGCTGGTGTTCGCTTTCTGCGTGGCCATCAAGCAGTACTTTTTTCCCAAGATGTCGTCTCCGTGTCCCACTCGTCCAGTAACGACGCAGACAGTAACAACAACTTCGTCAGCCATGCGGAGTAACCGCAGCACGCCGCCTTCAGTGTCAGCAATGTCGACGCCGGCAACTGTGGATTCTGTGGACAGTAATGTTCAACAGCAGAGTGAAAATGTTCGTCATGGAGTGGCGCGCAGTAGCAGTCAGCATCGCCGTCATCGACGCCGTTCTGGTGCTCAGACCGTGAATTCAGCTGCAAGTACCGCTCCTCTGGATACCGAGACACCAGTTGCAAGTCTAGTTGCGGGGCATCAGAGGAGGTGGGGATTTCGAAAATGAACTTTCAATTACTATTTGTGGAGATTGACCGCTTTTTGGTGGGATGAAAATGACTACAAGGATGACTATTCAAACAGAATCACTGCTGTTCTGACTTGACCCTTAGGGAAAATTGTGTTGACTCGAAACGTGAACATAGACCGAAAAATTCATCTTGCAAAGAATGCTGAGAGACAACATGCTTTTAAACACAAGAGCTGGAAGAAAAATATGGATCAGTAGATGTCAAGCTTCAATTTTCAGAAGGAAAGAAAACTTGTCAATCACCCAGACGCTGGGAAAGCGTTCTTTTCGAACCCAGGATTTGATATTGTAGTTTATTTTAGAAAAGTTTCGCAACAGTTTTTTTAGTAAACATACAAAAAGCACCAACAAAATCTCTCTCAGCAAGCAATCTCACAACCACTCCCTGCAAAGGTTTAGGTCTGAGTCGTCTGCTTGATGATTTTGGTTAAAAAAAGAGAGGGTTTATTAATTTATCACCATAGCTTTGGTGAAATACTGTAAGTGAAGATAGTTGGAAATCAAGTGTGTTGCTCTTTCAGTGGAAGCGTGACACTTTGAGAAGAAAACCTTTGAGTTTTCTGGTCGACCAACTTCTCTCCACTTGATTAATTTCTTCCTCAACTAATGAGGCGTGGCGCAGTACTTCAAAAGAATGAATTCTTGGAGCGAAGGTTGCATTTAACGAAAAAAAACTTGACACAAAGACGAAGACTTGTTCTGTGTCCCAAAAGTAATCTGAGCGTGGGTTTTGAGAATCCCAACACTTGTTTAAACCAATTTTTGTATATTGACTGAAAATTTAATTCAATATTGTGCGGTTGACTCGAAGAGTTTTCAATTGCGTTTTACAATGATGATTTGTGTGGTCTTCGTTTGAGGAGCAATTGTGTGATGTGCGAGGGTTTGAATCATGAACTTTTTCCCCGCTTGGTTTATTCCGGGTAAAGCCATGATGTTGCTTCATCGGATGACCTGAACGTTGCCGAGTTGCTGTTCGACGCAAACTCTCTTGCGTCACCCACGTTCATGGACCAAGGCAGAGCACCGCCTCCGTACCATTTGGCCGTACTGATGCCAAACCCCATTCCTTGTTTGAGTAACGAAAATCCCCGTGAATCTGACGCTTTTCCCGGTGTTCACGTGTCAGCTGCTGATGCTGGCACTGTATCTGGCATTGGCAGTGTAAGTCCTCCGCCGCCATATGACGCCACTAACTTCCCGAGACGCCCTGGAAATCATCTGTGATTCAATACAATCTGCTTCTTCGTCCTGTCATGATGGGAGTCAAAGGTGAATGCATTGATGCAGCTGAAGGACTTCCGCATTTCTGCTTCTGGATACACGAAATTCCCGTGGAACTTTTCCTTTTTGGTTATCTGAAAGAATTCGCAGAGCTGGAAAAGGTTCTGCGAATTGGGGGTTTTTTTTCACTTGGACGAACTTGAATCTCATTCATTTTATTGATGTCGCTTGATTTTATTCCGATGTCGAAGGTTGTAGTTCAGTTATGTTGACGCGGATACGTATTCTGTGGGTCTTGGGGGGCTTATGTTTGGGTTAGATTCCGTACTCATTCCAATATCGGACGCCGTTGATTTTTGAATTGGCCTTTTCTCGCCGCCAAACTAGAATTAATATTCATTGTGAATCCAAGACGCACTTGGTTTATCCCTAAGCAGCCGCGTCTTGTTTCAACTCATGAATTAGTCACTACTTGATCTCAACTTTTTTGAACCAACATGTGTATTCTAACTCTTCTGTAGTTTTGAAGTGACCATGTTGGTCAGATATCTTTGATATGCATCATTTTTTCTGGAAAATATTTCCTTCGTGACTAGGATTTGTATGCTGTACGTTCTCAAGAACGTGAATTGCCATGAAGTTGGAGCTCAAACTTCATGGCTAGACGCCCTAACATGCAAGACTTCCCTTGATTTTTGTAAACGAATTTGTGTCCAAAAAAATAACGGCGTCATGTATTCTTCTGAATACGAAGAAGGATGAGTTTGTTAATGCAGGTGAGGGAATCACGAACCCGACATTCCAAATAGCAAGACCGAGCGTATAGGTGATAAGAACCATCACCTTGTTGAAGATCGAAGCTCAGATACAAGGACTACTCTGTGGCAGAAAAACACGAAGAAAATGTATGTCGAGGACTTTCATAAATGCGTTTGCCTCAAAATTGGAAATTACATGTGTTCAACGAAACCTGAAGACAGATGAGTGTTTGTCGTTTTGAACTATTTTGTCACAAATTTTCCGCGCTTTTTGTGCCAATAAGACGTCGCCAGATTCCGTCATCTACCCCTTGTCAATGTTTCGTATGTAATTTGTTATTGTTGGAGTTAGCGTTGGGCGATGTTTCGGTGTTCAGCTTTGTGATAGACAAGTATTCGAAGGATGTTGCTTTCAGTGTGGATCAGGGATCTCGTCACCCTAGTGTTGCTGTATGATAGTGCAGTACCTGTTTCTCCCTCAAGATCATGAACGGATGTGATCAGTTGAAGTCACAATTCGGTCTTTTTTTTTTGATTGCTTGTAAATAGATGTCATTGATAAACTAGGGTGCTAGAATATGCTTTCCATTCCTCGGCCGAAATCTCTTTGACGTGATCGGTGTTGTGTTTCTGTCATTCGACAATTTGTACAAGCGGAGTTATTTGGGAACCGAAGATGTTCGTTTGATGTGCTTCGTTTTGATTCATCGGTTACGAGAAATTAAACACCCAGGAATTCGTGATTGAATGAAGGGCCTAGATTTATTTTCCAGTATTTGAAGAAGCTGCGCGAGTGTGATTAATTTGAGTTTGCAGAACGCGTTGACCAATTACGGTGAGGACTATCAGGAACTTCGTGAAGTTTATTTTTCGCTTACCATTAAGCGAACAGATTTTCTGGGTCCAGCTGAAGAAGTCGCTAAAAAGGACAAATTATGTATTGGAAGATGGAACGTGATCTGATGATGGACAGCGGTGAGTACTTGACATGGTACTATGCGGTATATTGTATCCCATCGAATTCGAGTTTTTTTTTTTTGGTCTTGTGTTCTCCCTTGTATGAGTCTCGTTGGATGAAATTAATTTTTTCGAAACTCGGTTTGATGACCTGTGATTTTTGCTCACTCGGGTTCCAATGGTTTAGACTTCAAAGCAGTGTTCCCCAACCTGTGGACTGGCACCAGTCTGCAGGAGTACGATATTTTGACCAGCTGTGGAAAATTTATCAGAAGTAGCAATGAAGTCTGTTATCTTGCTCTGAAATTTTTGAAAGACAATGGCAGTATGTTGAAATGATGTGATGCAAAATGGAAGTTGGCTCTTCTCCTAAAAATGCCTTAGGACAATTTTTGCGTGCTGAAAATAATTATTTTAATTTTTCATTCTGAGAAGCCTTTTCTTGAAGCACAGCTTTTTAATTTTCAAAGACATTCAACTATACATAAGTAGCATAATAATTTCTGCTGGTCTTCAAAAATTTTATGAAAATATCCCAGGCTGCAGGCCCAGAAACACTGGTTCAGATGACAATTGAGTTGAAAATGGACTCTTATTTAGAAATATTGAGGCAACTTGCCATGGTCTTGTGTTTCACGTATTGCAATACTATACTGTACTGTACTCATGTGAGTAGAACGCGCAAATTTTTTCTAGAAAAATGAGACAAAAAGTGGTGAGTGGGTATGAAATTTTGCTACAAATAATTTATGTAAACAGAGTGATGTAAGGTTGATCATGGATGACACATTCAAAATAAAAAATTTTTGGCACCAATGCTGCTGGCATGTTTTATGCTCTTTTATTCAATTATGAGAGTGTTCATGAAAGATTATAATTCTATGAAATGTGCACCTAAAAAGACCAGGTGCGAGTCTTACATTGATGTGCTGTACAGGTACTTACTTTGACTTGTTTAAATATGGGCGTGTGACTATTCGAAGCCTTTTAAAAGGAGTACATAATTTTTAAAATGTTCAAACTCGGCAGTGATAATGTCTTAGATTTTTAAGTACTTTAATGACATGCTGGACTCACCTGATTGATTTTGCGTTTTTGATGCTAAAAGTTTCCCCAAATTACTATACTGCTGTTCGTCATTTTTTAAAAAGAAATTGCGTTACTCTGGGCGGGAACACAATTTTCGAATGAACATGCGCAATTCTCCCAATATTTATCATTCATCTCCCAGCGCTAGGGGTTTGGAGGTTTCTGAATCGCAAATGTACACAACTTTCCAGTGACCCATCATCTCAGATTGAGGTCACCAAAGTCTATAACCTGATATGTTGAACACTGGGTGAACAAAACCATCCCTCATTTGGAAAGTCATCCATCAGTCATTGTGTGAAAATGTGCAACCGTCATCTGTTCCACATTCTTTTGAAAATTCTCGAGAACAAGGATGGAATACCTGTTTTTGTGCGTGAATATATAATCAGAGAAACATTTTCTGACTGCTGTGAACGCTGTCTAATTCTAAACATCTCCAAATCCTAGAAATGTTTTGAAATATTTGAGGCCGAATGTTTGCCTTGAAACACATATACGCGTAGTTGCTTTGACATGGCCGTCTTTTACCATATTCGTATGGTGTCATGCAGAAATGGTTGCCTACTCAAAGTTCAAGCATAGAAATTTTAGAAGCTAATGTCAGTGCAACATGTTTCAGAACTAAAATGAAAATGAAATCTTGAAAATTGCAGTTTTTGATCTTGAGAACTGGCTTCACTCTAATTTTAAAACTTTTAATGCCGAGAAAGCCAGTATTTCCGTTCTTACCTTCGGCAAGGCTAAAAAATCTTCGACTTCTGCATTTATGCAGCCTATATCTCCATTCGAAGGATTATTTCCGTGTACACTAGTATACAGATCGTACACGCAGTACTGCATACAATAAAGTGCAATGCGGCCTGACTCGGAATTTCTCGATTTTTCCTTCTACAGTACGTAATTATTTTCATGACGGTATATCGGTATTTTCACTGTATTGATAGATTTTTGACTCCGCTTTTGGCAGCAGTGTGGAAATGTTCATATAATGGGCTTCGCATGTTCTATATGAGTATAAGTCCTATGATTGAGTTGAATATTGGGAAAGCTATTCAAGAATAACCCGCTTCAAGCAGGAAAATTACGTTATCTGAAACATATTCGAAAAAAAGCGCGATGACGACCCCATCACAGCAGTGATGCAGGAAGATGACTACAATATACTACAGTAACTACATATACTTTCGAGGTTTTCTTTTCTTCTCCAAAGGTTGATCTTTTCTTTGATGCTTGCAATGCAGTGTACTGTATAGCGATTGCATTTTGACAACAAAGTTTGACACGGAATTTTAAGCAGGTCTGATGTAAAAAAAAACAGGTCCGATGTGAAGAACAGGTCTGATGTTCTTCAGACTTGTATGCTATGCGTCAGTAAACTGTACAAGTTCACTGTACTCTGCTAAAATACATAATTGAAAAAATCTGCTCCAGTCCAAAAAACTTAATCTTTTAAACTTGGCTGATCCATAGGATAAAGTTTTTCTGAATGTATAAATCCTTTTTTACAATCAATGATCGAAATTATTTTCCATGTTATGCACAAAAGATCTCAATAAAATAAAGTCCTTTTCTACCTTTGTCGTGTAAATTCATCGGAATACTGTACTGTAATATGTTGCGGAACGCTGAGAAAATTTTGAAGGTTCCTCCTTTTTTTATAATGCTTCTTCCTGACTTTTTCATTAGCTTGCAGGACAGCAGACTGAATATTTTAAATGTGGAAACTATAGTAAAGTACTTCGCATCAAAGTTGAGCGTTTAAAGCTTTTGCTCAAGAGTTCACCAGGGTTTCCTTGCTGATGAAACAATGTAACGTAAATTTATTCAGATGAATACGACAGTACCGCTTAGCAGAATACCGAAGTACTGTGCGGTAATATTCTTTCTAGACGTTTTCTAATGGCCAGGTTGGAATGCCCTGAGGTAACAAGCAATTTTTTAAAATGATGCAAGAAAATGCATCATAATTTGATCCATTGCAGGTGATGAAGCAACTTTTACTGTGCTGCTCGCCTCTGCTGGGCAAATCTTGGACCATTATTTATTCCCCCTTTCACTTTGTGTGGGGCAATGTTTGCTCATCGTATATATTATCAAGGTTTCCAAGGGAAGACAATTCTTTTCACGCTTCAATTTGAGACATTTTGTCTAGCAATGTTTGTATTTTTTCAATGATTTAATCAAGTATTTTTTCAAGAGGCGTCATCTCTCTTATTGTTGATTTTTTACTGAGCGTTTTGCCCGCAATTCAAAAGATTTTTTTGCAATTTCTTATTGTACAAAATCCAGTTCCATGCAATACGGTATATTCCAATGAAAATGACAACAAAATACCTGTACTCTATACACTGAAAAATCTTGTTGCAACAAGCTTTTTGAGACCACTAAAAGATATCTGTTATCCTGAGTAATTTGTTACAACTAGATTTTCAAAATGCATGTCTGGAAAATGTTTTTTTTTTTTTACATCAGACCTGTTTACAGTATACTGTAATCAATTATATCTTGCCTTTTTTCATTCTTGGATTGTTTTAGTATTCATAGAATAACCTAACAATCTTCGGGAAAATATTGGCGTAAATCATACTTTCCAATGGATGTCAATATTGCGTTGTCTGTAACAGATTGTGAATAATTAGTGAAGGAATGATGTTTTAAAAAAACTAGTTGATACCCAGGAGGAGCACGCGCAGTTTTCCAAGCATTCACCTCAAATAATTTTTGCGCTGATTTTGAAATGATTTTTTTCTGTCGCTTACGCAATTTGTTACTTGGAGAATCCATTAAGACTTTCACAAAAAAGTTTGTTGTACTATAAATTGAGCGTACAAAATTGTTTCAAAATTCACTCGATGGGTTTTCTGCCAGGACTTGAGAAAAACTTTGCTATACTGAAAATGTTTTGTAATGATATTCGATACAAAAATAATGTTACTGCTGTATGCTGCACTGTACCGATAAATTGTTTTTGAGTCATATATCTGGTTCCATATTTGAACTTGCATGCTTGGATCTGAACATCATCTGTCGTTTATTTGGAGCTAAATGTTTCTTGTCACGAGGGAATCATTGATGATAATAAGGAAATGTAACTATAATGAACAGGTAAACTGGAATTTCATTTTCCTCTCACTGGCGAAACTATTTCCGTGTGGCCCTCATCAGAGGTTAATTGGGAATAGTGCTCTGATTTACGAGGAGAGTGGTCTATATTTAAGTATCATAGGTCTGTCCTTGAGGGTTCTCAATCCCCATGGAATCCAGTCGTATGTGGCCAAGTTATCTTTATTGCATTGTTGTCTTTTCATTAAAACGTACATCGTATTACTAAAACATAAATACTTCCGGTTTCTTATTCGTCTCAATAAACTGGATTGAACAAGACATCAACCAAGTATATCTGCTTCCATGTCGATCTTTCTTCAATAAGTGAAAAATCAATATTTTTTTACAGTTTAGGGTACTATTTTTGAAGGTCTACAGAGTGGAAATATAAAGATTTAGCATATGTTGATGCCATAGACGTATATACAGTATATGTATATAGGTACAGAACCATATTTTTTGTGTGCTTGGAATAGGAATCCTGTAGTTGTATTTTGTTGTAATAGTTGTACCTTGCAATTTGACCCTAATCCATTGCCAGACTAGGGTAAACTTGCAAATTGGGTTAAATGCAAGACACTCCATGAAATTTAAAATT